TACGGGAAGCTCTACCCTAAAACACAATTTATGCAATCAACATTTACATGACTCATCTGAGATCCAATATAATACCATAACCACACAGGGTTCATTTTATACATAAAACTTGACCACACCGGGACCAATCATCATATTTATATCAAAATATGCAAGGTTATATTAAAACAGTCCATATAGACTCTATTACAATTCCTTTACACATTACATGCCAAAATTTAATTACAAATCTACTTTTACAAAAAAAAAAAAAAAAATTGGATTGGAAGCCACAAGTCGGCTTTTCTTCAACCATGTGACCCTGATTGTGAGTCGTCCATTGGTGCATGACCCACACCTGAAATGTTTCCCGTATAGGATGAGCCAATGCCCAGTAGAATAATCCCTACAGAGGCTACTCATCACCTAAAATGCATATGCAATGTATAAATGCAACATTTCACAACAAGTATTCCCTCCAACAATAACATATAATATAATGTTGGAAAATTATGATGTCATGCCAAATAATTTGATGAAACTCACCCATGCATGCTATCCTAAGCCCACACCGACTCCCACAACACAATGCGACACTTACGTGTAAAACAAACGTCTTTGATGAAACACATCCAAAGATCATTTTGAAATCAACCATATGTCATAAAACTAATTCATTCTTGGATGTTTTCCATCAAATGAATAATTTATATATCAAAATCATGTGCCTTTATGGGGTATCGGATTCAGGAATCGCACCTCCGGCTTCGTACGCCGTTACACTTTTCTGGAATTTCACCACCGGTAAGTGTATGAACCAAGTGGCCGGGTTTTTCACCCGAGGGAATGTCTAGCCCTACTTGCTATACCCGACACAAGTTTTCTTATGCATGTCACCGTGCGACTCCGTAGGACGTTCCATCCCACTTTCCCGAGCCTACCATCAAGTACCAATGTTGGTGTTGATCACCCCATGCAACCCTACACCCACACTCATGCATGTAGCCCATAAATGTGATGTTAATTCCATGTCCATATTGCAATGCATGTCAAATGACAATTTTTAAATATTATTGTATACCATGACAATTAATATCATTTGCATATAATCACATAACCATTTCAAGTTCAATATATCCAAGAGCATATATCAACACTCCATCAACATGATAACACATAATACATGCTAATATTACATTTCATTCACAAGGCATAATATAAAACACAAAGCATGCCCACATGATCCCAATTTCCAAGGGATTACATAAATACTTTCATATACCAAAATCAAGCCAAGATTTTATATGGATCATTCAAACAAAATAAAAATTAGAATATATGATTTTTATATAACCAATTATCTAAACATTCAAGAAATCACAAACTAGCACTTTCTAACTACCAATTCATATTAGAATTGATCCTACCCATTTTCATAGCACCAATCATAATGGAAAAATATTAGAAATACCCAAAACAGCCCACATGAACCCTATGGACACCTTAGGTTAGAAATATGTCCGAGTAGGAGGAACCCTACCTCTTGAAGCGTAAAGAATTTGTAGGAAGCCTCAAGAACAAGATTGAAGCCCAAAGCTTAGATTTCTCCAAAATCCTCCCTTTGAATCTTCGGTGAAAATCTTTGTTTTTGGTACCCACGCGTAGCTCTCGTCACGTAGATCGACTTTAATTCTTGGCTCGACGAATTCCGACCGACGGAACTCCGAGAATCGGCGAAAGAAAGCTTGAAGAATTATATTTTTTTCTTCTTTGCTCTTGGGTCTGATCCAGCCGGCCAAATGAAGAGAAAATATCTGATTTTTCAGATATTTGCTCACTTTTATACTTTTTAAACACTTGGCCCTCGTCGCGCCAAGTGTCGTCCTTTGTCCGGGTCCGTTTTTACCCCAAAATGATTAAATTTCGTACCGATTTAAGCTCAAAATATTTTATATGAACTTTATTTAAAATATTTTTCAAATTTTAAATTTTTTATAAAACTTTCGTTTTTAGGGGTCATCGAACACCCTTCACCTCGAAAAACGTGAAAAATCTGACTATCTCAGAATTCGACGAAATTTGTCTGGATAACTAGATTTTATGAGACAAATCCAACGGTGAGATTCGTTTCATCATCCGAGGTCTATAAAAATACCAATTTGTTTTTAACCCGCACTATAATGGTAAATTATCATTTTGCCATTTTTTTTCAGAAAAAGTTAAAATTTTTCCCGGATTTCACAAAGTCAGAGTTCGAATATTTGCTTTCCAACTCCGACAGAGTCGAAGCCTAGGCTTAGGTAAGAGTTGTATTCATATAAGACATACATATCAATTTTTGACCCTTTTCAACTTAATGAGCTTTTATTTATGAGATATGATGTATTGCCTTACCTTTACTTATATATTCCTGTATACTTGTGAATCGAGTGTAACTGACGGTTGACTTCAATATGACTATTTGGTAAATAATAGTATTATTTGATACTGACCTTTTTTATTTGCAATAAAAACTTTTTGACATTGGGTTTTTATCAATTGTTTTTGTGGGCCGTTTAGATTTTGCCGTAGGAGTTTCATCGAGGTAAGTTTCTTGGGAAATTTCATATGAAGAGTTTGGCGTGTTGGTGGAGAAAGAGTAATTTTATCAAAACTGAATTGGACCAACTGATTCAATCAATAAACTAGTGAACCGGATTCTAAGCCCGTCCGATTCTAAAATTGAACTGCTTAAATAATTAAATCGCTAAAAATCCAGTCGAACCGAGCAATTTTTTATTAAACTAGAGTACACCGGACAGTTAAACTCATTCTAAGCTGGTCACCATTTGATTTGGAATAAAATATTAAGCTTGTTAGCTAGCAAGTGGCTATTAAGCCAACGCCACTCTATGACAAGAAGTCGGCCTTTGGTTTGCCTTTATAGAAACTTAGCGCTTCTTTGTTGCAATGGTTTCCGATGTTGGATTTGTGTTATAGTAGTGTATGATCATCCTCTTATTGCTTTATAGTTTTCTTTCAATATTTTTTATTGTTTTTTGTCATCATAATATTACTACTTACGTAAATTTGCAATTTCTATTTGTGGATTGTTGATGTTATATTAGATTTTTTAAATTATCTACAAAAATAGGTGATTTATGATTTTTTTTGTTCTTATTTGATCATAAAAATGTTATTTTTGTACCTATTCAATTTTTTGGTATACTCATCATTATTAATAATATATTTTATTTTTTTGTGATGCAACCAGTTTGACCAATTGTCTCAACAGCTGAACTAGTGAATCATTGACCCGGTCCCTCTACTAGTTTAATGTTTAGTCCGGTTCTAATATCACTAGGAGAAAGGACTTAAATTATTGGGACCCACAAAGACATGTGGTATCTACTGTGTGTCTTGGGTAAAAAAAAAATTGATATAAATTTTGAGAGCATAGCATTAGCTCATCTTCAATGGAAATTCAAATTTTTACTCAAATTTGAATAAAAAAAAAAGACAAAAAAACTTAATTTGGTATAGACCTTTCCAATTAAAAAACTCAAATTTAAAGGAAGAGAAACTCAAATTTACATGAGTATAAATTTAAATTTAAATAAGAGTAAAATATGACCATTAAATCTTTAAAGGATGATAAAATTACATAATTAAAGATTTTGGTATATATTTGAGTATTCCTTAATTTAAGTAAAAATTGAGTCTCTCCTTATTTAATAGGAGAGGCTATTTTCACCCCATAAATCTCCATTCCCACCTCATTTAATTTGTCATTATCAAATTACTAATCTCACACCTTCTATATTCATTTCATTAGTAACTAAGCTGATCTCATGCTATATACATCGTTTTTAATAAGTAAACTCATTTTATATTTTGTCATAGTTAGGGTTTCATTCTCTACCTCTTCTCATTTACTCATAAAAATATTTTTTAAATATGAATTTTTTTATTGAGATACATGTTAGTATTTCTTCTCAATTTAATTATATCTTTGATTTCATGTGTTGTTATATAAATTTTCATTATTTTCGTTATGTTTTGGTTTCTTTGTCAAGGTTAATAATTTTTATTTTGAATTTATATGTATGTATATATATGTATAATTTTAGATAATTTTTTCTTTATTATCTTGATCAATTTTGTGCGTGTGCTTGATTTTTATTTTTTATTTTTTATATTCAATTTTGCGTCTTGTAGTTTGACTTGTTTCTTTAATCTTTACTTGATTTTTTTTTATTTCGTTCTTTTATTTTTTCTTATTTCAACATGCTTAATTTTTTTTTATTTGTTTCATTTCTGGTTCTTTTTTTTTCTTATTTTGTAAATATATTTTATGCATTCAAACTAATTGCCTTCTTTCATTTTTTTTTTCTTACAATCACTTCTTTCATTAAAGGAATGAGTTTAGTAGTTTTAAAATAAGAAATTGAAAGGGGTTGGAAATGGAGATTTATGAGGTGAGAATTGATAGGAAAAAGGTTTTACCAAATTTAAATTTGGGTTTAAATTTTCACCCCAAAGATTAAAAAAATTTAATTTATACCTTTAAAAATTAATTATTTCAAATTAAACTCTCAATTAAATTAATTAGTAGTAATGTGATCTTAACCATAATATTCATTGCGATTTTCATTAAATTGTTAGCCACGTTAAATACAAGTGATGACTTTTGTTAGATTACAACACTTCTCATTTTCACGTGCATCTCACGTATTTATCAATCCAATAAAACTCTCGTGTACATTTTGATTATGATTGCAATTTTTGCAAATTGATAGCCACGTAAAATGCACGTGATATTTTGTTAGATTATGACATTTCCCTTTTTCATGTACGTCTCAAGTGGATGTCAATTTGATGAAAATCGCAAATGACGTTATGATTGTGGCTACATTGCTACCAATTAATTTATTTAAAAGTATAGTTTAAAATAATTAATATTCGAGGGTACAAATTAAAATTTATTTAATATTTCGGGCTGCAAAATGCCATTTGCCCTTAAATATGGGTAACGATCGGAGATGCTCGGTCTCCGTTCTCTATTCTCAATTCACCAGTGCCCCACCGCCGATGAAGCCACAGAGACACACTACAGGCGACGCCATCCCAGATCCAAGTCTACCCTCTCTCTCTCTCTCTGGTCTTCATATCTATGTTTCTCTTTCTGTCCTCTCTCTCTTTCTTCTCTCTCTGCAGGACACACACATATAACACTCGTACGCAGCACACACACCCACACACACACACAGCGCTCACACAGCACACGCACACGCACACGCACACCACCCCTGGCACAGCACTCGACCACTCTCTGCTCCTCATCCAGCAAGACCCACTGGCTAGCTCATCCAGTGCCCATAACCGCCTACTTCCTCCTCTTCACCCACTGCCACAATCTCATAATTTTGCCCTTTTCCCAAACCATATCCACCAACGCCACACCCAAAAGGGTCCTTTCTCCACCAACCGCACCCACCACATGTTCGATGAAGTTTATCACTGAGCTATGGAATCTCTGATCCGAAAAATACCCACTGTGATCTTCAGCAATTCGAAAAATTTCTACTTCACTATGGAACCATTTTTCCAAGTCAATAGTGTTTTTTTTTTTTGGGTTAGAATTTGAGTCTCATGCTTGGATTCTCTGTAGTGCGGGCTCGAGTCTCTGGTCCAAGAACACGTATTTTGTTCCATTTAGGTGATAAAGCTGGAGTACAATCTCTGTAACAAATCTGGGTGAAATTTTTGTGTGAAATCTTAATGAAATGTGAAGAGTGGGATGTTAAAATGAGCTTGGCGAGTACATGTTGCTGAGGCAAGAAAAGAGCTGATAACAATGATTGTCCTACTTTCTACCTTTTATTTGTGATCCATAATGCCTGTGTTCTATTGATAATTGAGTAGTGAGAGCATTATAGAATTTTCATTTTAGGAATTTCTATCTATTTGGGGTGTCGGAATTTTTCTTATCAATCAGAGCATGAAGCAGCAATTTTCATGAGTTGTTTTTTTTCCCTCACCCCTTGCCCTTGCACTAAAATTAGTTTCACTGGTTGGGAATTTTATTTGTAGTATGTCTGTCAACGCCTTTGCTATAATAGGCAATTGTTTATGTGTTTGCGTGGATCACCATTACTCTTGATTGATGGTTATTCAATGCAATAGCATGATGCTTGATTTTGGTTGAGGAAATTTAAGGAGGTTGTGACTGAGTTTTTCAGTCTTATAATTGGTGTGAAAGGAAGTGCTAGCATTGAAGTGATGTGATGGTGGAGCTTTTGTCATGAATGGTGTGTGAACTGACTTTAACTTCTTTAACTTAGAAAACGATTTTTATTTGGGTTAGTGGAATAAATTTTTGATTAAAACTAAGTTAACACGGCTCATTGTCTTGGATTCTGTGATTCTAACTACATTTCAATTTGTATCATATGACCAGGTGTGCACTTTAGTGATGGTAAATGAGTCAATTTGAAATGGGAATTTTTTTTTTTGTTGTAGTAATAACTAGCAATTGGCAATATCTTATAAGAATTTACTGGAATATTTATTTGTATGTCACATGCGCTGTGTATGATGAAATGTTTCGATGCACCCTTTATGTGTGATGAAATTTGAAATGTTTTGACAATTTTTTGTGTTATACGATGCCTTTAAGTATGGTTGCATTGTTGGACCCTCGATCGATAATTGTTCGGTCTTAGTTGTCATGCAATGGTGTGTCCGTTCTGTATAGCTGGGTTGACTTATTGGTGTTTAATTGACTGTAGGACCTGCCTTTCAAGAAGGAGAGAGATAACACACTTTAGTTCCTTGCAAAACATGATCGCAAAGACGACGGCTTTAATAATTAAGTTCGTACACAGAAGAAATCAATAAACCAAGGTCTGTTTTGATTGCATGCTATATTTTCTATTTTATATATGGTGCTTTTACATATGTAGGATAAAGCTGAAAATCGATTGATGGGGTTGGCGGGATTGCTGCAGCTATGAGTTGACTCCAGAAGCATTACAACACCTTGAGGTAGTAGTGACATTTATGATTCATTGGATTAAATGGAAAAATGAGACTTTTTTTGGGTTTGCAGAGTTATTAAATTTACATTTGGATAATATGTTTTTTATTTTAGTGAAAATTGCTTAATTCCCATTATTTTCTGTGCAATAGAAAGTGTGAGGATTTGTGTGAATGTTACGGGGTCCTCATTTTAGAGGAAGCTTTTCCTTTTTTTTTTTTAAATTTCTTGGGACTAGAAACTTATACGATGTCTTTAATGCATTATGTCACTTTCCTCTTACTAATGCTCATTTCTTTTTTGTTACGCAGTGTCTTTAAACATGGCCACATGTCTAGTCTATCTATAATCTTTTCGATTTTTGTGCCAAAACTGGAGGTGGCCAATGGCTTGAAGTCCCCAATCGCTCTTTTGTGCATGTGTTTATGTCACAATCGCTTCATTGATTAATGGGTTTGCAGAAAGAAAAGCTTATCCACAATCCTGAAAATGAAGACCTAGAGGTTTCCGATCAGTCCATTTCTCCTCACAACTTCCAAACCCTAATTTCTGCTGTTGCATCTTCGGAGGTACTTTATGTTTACATTCTTATTCTTTGGTTTTATATATTCTCTCATCTATACTTGTGCCTGTGTTTTCAGCTTCTTTGATTTAAAGGAAGACTTAAAATTATAAAATATTGAAAAAGGAAGTTGGATCGAAGTGACTTAATGAGGTTCCTGGATGGAAATTAAAAAAAAGGGTCTGTGAGAAATGGTTGTGGTAGTTGCAAGGAATCAATGTATTTTGGATTTTCTTAGTAATATTGTCTTCTTTGTTGTATTTTGCTTTCGGGATCTCCTAATCATTTTTCCACTTTTGTTATCTCGCTTATGTTTTTGGAAACAAATTTAAACAGCTATAAATGTTCTGTTGGAATAAAAAATTGTTTGTTGTACATTATCTGAGAGCTTTTTAACATGAACTAGTTATGGATTATTGTTTTTTTTTAGTTGGTTTTCTGCAAATAATAGGATATTAGTGGGTACTCAAAGTTTTTGTAAACTATATGGGTGAAGAGATTAACCAATTAATGTACAAGTCTGGATCTTTGTAGCTTCTGTGGAATTTGCACTTATGAATGTGTTTTGCTCATTTCTACTATGATTCTCTGTTCTAATTTGGTTCTAATGTTAATTGTTAAATCTCAGGGTCTACAGCTACCACTGTTGAGAACGTTGCATTATCTGCTCATCCACCTGTCTTCAAACCAACAACGGAGTGCAAACTATGGTGATCATTTGGATGACTTGGACATGGAAATTGGTCGGTATGGAATCAGGGTGGCATTCAAACAAATATGTAAGCTCTCCAGTATCCTTTTCAAAGAGCTCTCTAAGAGATTTAATAAGTTCTTTGCTACTTTAAGTGATGTTTCTACAAGGAGTGCTCTTGGACAAGCGGGCTTGCCCTTGGATATGAGGATTGCTGCTGAAACGGTAAATTTGCTATTAAGATGTTGTATGGTCATCTTGAATTTGCTTGTGCCCCAACAATACCTTCTTCTGGAAAATGGCAAAGTTCTTCTGGAAATTCTCAGAAAGCTAGGCTCACTGGATTTAGTTAGAACACAAGACAAAGATACCATCAGCTTTGAGAAGTCAGTTTCTCATGGATGCACATATATTGACAAAGGCTGCACCACCTCCGTCAGAGAAGACTTTGTTGCCTCCCTGCATTTCTTGGAGCCTTCTGATCCACACCGTCCTTTTCTATGTGCAATGCTTGAGGTAATTCAACAATTACAACCTTATCTTTATTAATATGTGAACCTGATTCTCCTATTGGTGTAGAAGCCATAAGTTAACATTTGTTAAAGGGACTCCGAAACCTTCTGCCAAACATGATTATAAACAGGGGAACATCAGTTTGTGTATAACCATATATTACTTCCTATGACCAATGAGATATTTTATGGAGATCACTGGCCAGAAAGCCTACATTCAATCGAAGCCATCGGGAGGAGACATGTGTCTAGACTTCCTAACTTCTGAAATAAGGGAGTATTTGGCCTCCTCATGCGGCAACAGATTGCAATTGCGGTTTGCTATATCAAAGTTACGAGAAATGAAAGCTAATAGAAGCTAAACTGAGTCCAGATTGATATTTAGAAACTTAGTTTGGAAGTGACACTTGTTGAAGGTTTAGTAACCATTAGGCATCTGTCAAAACAAATTCTGATAACTCAATCTCCAGCCAATTGGCAACTGCATCATATGTTTGATTGGCAAAGATTTTAGCAGAGAAGGCTCTTGTCTTCTATCAGTCTGCCTCATTCAAAGTTGGTTGACGTTTAATAGTTGTCAATACATGAAAAAAACATAAATTTCCTCCTGATATTTGTCTTTCAATTTATATTGATTTATAAGAGATATTCCTTTGGTGATGGATCATGTAATGAAGCATATTAAAACAGCACCTGCTTTCAGCTATATGTGAGAATAAAATTGGTTACAGAGCAAAATGTTTGTTAATAATATCTAATTTTCCTTCTAGGCTTTTTGTATTCGATGTCTCCAAAATTAAGGAACTTTGACTATCAAATTTGATCATGTGGAATGTTGGATTGAATTTGCAAGATTCATATTGTTGCCCGGTTGGTTAAATGTTGTGAGCGAGAATATTAATTCACTATGCTTAACAATACTTCCTGGAGACTTCTTGGTTAAACATGCTATTGCTTTGGCGGCACTCTTAAATGGACTTTTGAGTCTAAGAAGTTCGTTTAGAGAAGTTGGACCAGTTTGGTGAGTGATTAGAATTGGACTTATATTGGACACGCTTATCCTGAATGCCCATTCCACAGAAGCTGTCTATCAAAGGTTCTCAAAACAGCCTTCAAACGACTTCTCCCGAAGTCGACCCATTTAAGTGAGAAAACAGTAGTTCCCAATATTAGCCTATTTCAGCTGTCTCAATGTCCATTTTATCCCCAGTTTAAAGTAAAGCTCCTGCGTCTCTATTGTAACATCGATTCAGTGACTCCAATGCTGACGCCATAGGTAGAGCTTCTCAATGTGATGCATGCACTACAAACAACCACCTCTTCTTGATACCACTCCAACAACATTAGTCCCAAGATGTGGGAGGAATTTGAGATTAGCTTGAGAGGCACTTGTTTTACGAGGTGGATATGCATTTTTGCTAGAAATTTGTGATGAGAGTGGTGTGGAGGATTGATTGACCATGAGGGGGTGTGTGTATGAGAGAGAGAGAGAGAGAGAGAGAGAGAGAGGATTTGTCGGCCTTGAAAGAAGAGGCAGAGATGAAAACCATTCAGTGAAGAGGAAGACGTAAGACAATAGAAAAGAAGAAGAGATACCAAATACTTGCAATGAATCGGTGAAGAAACATACAATATTCTCCACAGGACACAAGTTTTATTATATCATACTTTCTAATTTAAATAGGGGATTACTTTCTAATTTAAATAGGAGATTACATCAATATTTATAGGTTAAGTCTCAAAATAAAAAACTCTCCTACTAAAATTCTAAGAGTTTTATAATCAAACTCTTAAATCTCCTACTCTTAGTCAAACAAGCACTCCTAAATTAAATAATGATAGTGTTAAGATTGGAAGATTAACATAATATTAGAGACAATATTTAGGGAGAAACAGAGAGAGGTTAAAAACTTAACCTAACTCTCATACATCACTTGTATTTATAGTTAACTCACTATAATAAGAATTACACATACACCTTTTTACTATTAATAATTTACACATACTATCCTACTATTCTTAACACTCCCCCTCAAGGTGGACTATATATATCATATAATCCAAGTTTGGAACAAATCGCTGTAAGACATGTACGACTCAATGTTTTGATAAACATATCTGCAAGCTGATCTTCAAATTTCACAAATGGAGTTGTAATCTTCCCATCTACAATCTCTTGTCCAGAATAAAGTGACAATCAACCTTAATATGCTTGGTTCTCTTGTGAAACACCGGATTGGTAGCGATATGGATAGCTGCCTGGTTGTCACAGAACAACTGTAAAGGAGGTTGAATTGGAAACCTAATTTCTTGGAGGAAGTGTAGTAGCCAAGTAAGTCACTCGTCGTATGCGCTATTGCCCTATACTCAACCTCAGCACTGAATCTTGCTACTACGGATTGTTTCTTACTTTTCCATGGGACAACGTTACCTCCTAAGAAAGTACAATAACCAATGGCTGATCTCTGATCAGAAGGAGAGTTAGCCCAATCAGCATCTGAGAAATCTTCCACTCTAAGATGTCTATTAGCTCGATATAACAGTCCAAGTCCAGGAGCTCGTTTGTGATATCACAGAATACGAGTAACTGTCTCCCAATATGGTACTCTAGGACACCCCATGAACTGACTTACTATACTGACTGCATAGGAAATTTCCGGTCGAGTAATAGTGAGATAATTGAGCTTCCCAACCAATCTGCGATACCGACTCGGATTCTCAAATAGTGCACCATCATCCATCAAAAGTTTCTGATTCGAATCCATAAGAACATCAATAGGTGTGTCACCTAGCAAACCTGCTTCCTCTAGTATGTCAAGTACATATTTCCTTTGGGATAAACAAATACTCTATTTAGATCGAGCCACCTCAATATCCAAGAAATACTTGAGTTTTTTCAAATCCTTCGTATGAAATCGATTTTTAACTTGACAATCCCCTCAAAATCATTTTCAGTAATCATAATATCATCTACATAGATCACCAATAGAACATATCCAACATCTGTTTGTCTATGAAACACAAAATGATCTGTCTGACATCGAAGAAGACCAAACTCTAAAACTGCATCTAAAAACTTACCAAACCATGCCCTCGGTGACTGCTTCAAACCATACAAAGATTTCTTTAACCGACATATACTCTTACCATACTCCTCCTGAGCAGTAAACCCAGGTGGCTGCTCTATGTATACCTCTTCAACCAAGTCACCATGTAGGAAGGCATTCTTGACGTCTAACTGAAACAAAGACCAATCAAGATTAGCAGCCAAAGAAATCAAGATACAAACCGAGGAAATTTTGGCAACAGGAAAGAAAGTCTTTTCATAATCAACACCATAAGTTTGAGTAAAGTCCTTTGCAACAAGCCGGGCTTTGAGACGCTCCACAGAACCATCCGGATGAAATTTAACAGCATACACCCAACGACAACCAACGGTTCGTTTATCAGGAGGTAAATGAATGAGATCAAGTTCCGTTATGATGTAAGGCATCCATTTCCTTCTCCATAGCTTTTCTCCAACTCGGATCCGATAATGCATCCTGTAAATATTTAGGAATAGATATAGTAGATAATTTGGAAGTAAAATAAGAGAAGGTAGGAGATAAGGCATCATATGAAATAAAATGAGCAATGAAATGATTAGTAACGCACGAACGAGTACCTTTTCGAAGAGAAATAGGTAAAAAGTCTAAATTACCTGATGTACCAGGATTAGAAGGCGACAAGGAAGACGGTACGGGCACCTAAGTCGATGGGCGAGGACAGCAAGAGTAGATACGGAGAGGTAAAGTAGATGGTAATACAGTGGGTAACGGAATATCTGAAGATGAGGAAAGAGATGGTGGTACAAGAGATGATCCAAAGGCTGAGAAGGTGTTGGAAAATATGGAACAAATTCCTCAAACGTGACATCGGCACTAGTAAAGTATTGGCGCAGAGAAGGACTGTAGCAACGATACCCCTTCTGCGTGCGGGAGTAACCAAGAAATACACATTTGGTAGCTCGAGGGTCAAGTTTGTGGAACCCAGGACCGAGACTGTGAATATAATAGACACATCCAAAAGCCTTAGGAGTTAGAAAAAATAAGGGCTTACTAGAAAATAGAACAGAATATGGGCTTTGCCCATTTAACACAAAGGATGACATACGATTAATAAGGTGACAAGCAGTAAGAACAGAATCACTCTAAAAATATCGGAGAATATTTATCTGAAATAACAAGACATGAGTGACTTCCAACAAATGATTGTTCTTGCGTTTAGCAACACCATTCTATGGAGAGGTGTAAGCACAAGAAGTTTGATGAATAATGTCAGTTTTACTATAATAAGCTGAAGAAGGATTAAATTTTTATTTTCGAGCATTATCAGAACATAAAATACGTATACGACAACTATACTGAGTTTTTATTTCCTTACGAAAGGTCTTAAATATAGAGAATAATTCAGACCGAGTAATCATCCACAAATGTTATAAAATAAGGATATTTATTAGATGAAATATTCTTTATGGGATCCCATACATCAGAATGTACTAACTCAAATGAAGTAGACACACGATTATTGACTCTAGATTGAAAAGACACAAGGTGATGCTTACTAAGTTGACAAGCTTCACAAGACAAACGACACATAGCTAAGGCTGAGATTTTGACGCTTCAGATTCTCGAGAGAGGGATGTCCAAGACGACAATGTTATTGAAAAGGAGACAACGAGGTTTGTAGAGTCTTGGTAGGTGAATGAAAGTCAAGGTAATATAGGCCATCAGTTTCATGTCTCGTACCAGTCTTCCTCTTCGTTTTGAGATCCTGAAAGACACAATAAGAAGGATAAAATGTTGCGGAACAATTAAGAGAACGGGTCATCTTACTAGTGGAAAGTAAACAAAAAGGAAATCGAAGAACAAATAACATGGAAGATATGGACATATCAAGACTCAAGTGAGTAGTCCCCAGACCTAAAATTTTAGAACAAGTACCATTAGCAAAAGTAACACTACGTGTGGAAGTAGCTGGCTGATAAGTAGAAAAATA